GTTCAGCTGCTTCGACAGTATTGGTTGCAAATAACTTGTGAAAAATGTCCACAAGCTTGTTTGTGTTATTTATACTTTTTTTTGGTTTTGAACATGAAGGGCAGGAGCACACTGAGTTGAATCAGTGGAAGCGGTGCCGAAGTTTATCAAAGACTTTGAGTTCAGTGCCTCAGAGATGGAAATGGCCAATGTGTCGACAAGGAACGGTAGCAGGAAAGACATCTACAAATCACCAATAGATAACGAACTTGTGCATATTTATAAACAAAAGAGGGGGTCTTGGAGGTGTAGGTACTATTGCATTTATGGCCTTTGTTTCTTGTATTTGTACATTTCAAGAGTAAAATGTATACGACTACCTGCTTAGTGTTAATGTGCATTGTTCATACCACCTGCTACATTCAACACTTGTATAATAAAACTGCTATAAGATGATATCTCACAGGAGTTACTGCTTAGTGTTCCAGGAGCACAGTTGACCCCGTCTGTACATATTATTCTGTCTGCATACAAATAAACTTATTTACTGTAAATTAATGCTTGCTTTTTGTGTGAAACATTATTACATGTTTAAATGTATATGATATTGGTTTCAGTAATTCATAAACATAGTTCAGTATATGCTTTCTTCCTGTTTTAAAAGCTTCTACATGTTTATCAGCAGCTTCAGTTTTGTTTATAATGTCTAAAGCACTCTCAGATGAACTAGCTTGCATTAATCTTCAGAACCGATAGCATCACATTTGGAATGTACATTCCTGTGTCTTTAATAAAACACAAGTCTTTTCGTGTCTATTGTAATCTACCTTGACTCTGAACTGAAATATTGCTGCTGTTTCTCATAGAAAGATATCTGAACTTTATGATGAACCAGGGTGATGGTGGATGCTCAGTGTTATCCACATTTAGAGCTAAATGCATAACTCTCCTCATACCCTGAAAAATAATATATCATCAGCGCTTCTTAAAATGATTACTTCAAAATCCTCGCCTCACCTGTTAGCAAAAGGGCCTTTACTATAAGAGGGAAACTAGCAGTAAAAATTAGGAATTTCAGCAAGTTCCATCCTTGCTTTAAATGTGTTCTATTAATTCTTGCATACCCCATACAAAAGGAGAAATCACAGAAATCATATGGGATATTTTAGCAGTCTGGAATTATTGGACCTGTATTCTAAGCAAAGACTTTTAAATGTCTGCTTGGGAGAGCAGACTAAAGTAGCTGTCTGCTGTCACTTGTGAATGCTTCCTCTGCCCCCACCCCCCTCCGTACCCCCCCCCCCAAAAGAAAGAAAGACAAAGAAAAGCTAAGACTTTTTCATCTATTTCTTTAGGGTTTATTGTTGCTACAAGAGACATACAATGGTAAGTCATGTATGAATATCGTATGAAATTAAACGTCTTATTGATTTTACTTTAATCCTGAAGTTCTGTAGTTCATTCTTCAGTATTGACCTACAGCCAGTTATATACTGTACCCCAGGGGCAGACAAAATACAGCTCACAGGCTGGATTCAGACTGCCAGGCCATTCTATCTGGCCCACAGGGCACCTAAAATTTTTTGAAAATTAATATTTATTTGCCCTGGCAGCCTGTCAAAGCTGACAAGAGCCAGGGGCAGTAGGACCCAGGGGGAGCCTCAACAGAGCCACCCTAGCTCTGCCCCCCCCCAGCCATTTCACTCCCTTCCTGCCCCTGCCCTGCTCCAACACCACAGGCCTGCTGGCTGCATTGCTGGACCCAGGAGCACGGGGCCGCACTGGTAGGGGTGTTTGTGGGGGGTGGGGGGGCAAGCAGGCAGGGACAGTGTGTGTGTAGGCAGGGGCAGAGTGTGTGTGTGTTCATAACCTGAGTCCCACACGCACACCCCACCATACACGTGTCCACTCTCTCATGCCATAGACACACACCCACAGCCCCCCACAAACCTATACCCACCCCCCACAACATACAAGAGTAAGACTTCATTTTAAGCTATTGTGCAATCAACTCCATAACCTGTGTTTGTGTAGTGTACAATCAGGACAAAAATATGGTTTGAAATCAAATTAATGAATGCTGTAGATGTTTGCATTTTAGAATAGAATTTGGTATTTTTCTAGTTTTGAGATGGCAAAAACCCCTTGCTTAAAGGGGAGGGACTTATGTCAGCAAAGATCGGGGTTAGGGGCTGGGATTTTCAGTCATAAAATGGTGACTGGGGGAGGGGCATCTGTCAAGGGGTGGGGCTACCATTGCGGCCCTCGAAAGCTTGGCGTAACTCAGTAAGCGGCCCTCCCCCCTGAAATAATTGCCTGCCTCTACTGTACCCTAACTTGTCTGTTGCTGGGATGTTGTTTTAGACATTACAAAAAAAAAAAAAAAAATCAAGAAGATGCCTATTTTATTGGTTGGTTATCAACTTGCTTAAAGCTACAGTGGACAGCTGAGCAAAACCGTACTGATAGTGGGTATCACTATTTTATCAGGCATGTCATGAATGTTATGTTATCAATTACAATAAAACTGTATGGTAAACTGCTGAGTAAAATATTTTGGTACTTTTTTTAATTTAAAGCAGAGCTGTTCAATTTCTAAGCGGCCAAGGGCCACACACCATGCAAACTGAACCAACTTGAGCTACTACCCCCTAAACTACACACCATATGGGTGCCTCCCTGCTGCACCACAGGCCGTTTCACTGTCCCCTCAGTCAAGGGCAGGAAGAATCACAGAAAATTAAGGTTGGAAGGGACTTCAGGAGGTCATCTAGTCCAAGCCCCTGCTCAAAGCGGACCATCCCAACTAGATCATCCCAGACAAAGCTTTGTCTAACCGGGTCTTGAAAACCTCCAAGGATGGAGCTTCCACCACCTCTCTGGGTAACCTGTTCCAATGTCTACTACCCTCCTAGTGAGAAAATTCTTCCTAATATCTAACTTAAACTTTCCTTGCAACTTGACACCGTTGCTCCTTGTTCTGACATCTGCCACCACTGAGAACAGTTCAGCTCCATCCTCTTTTGAACCTCCCTTCAGGTAATTGAAGGCTGCTATTAAATTCCCCCTCACTCTTCTCTTCTCTAGACTAAATAAGCCCAGTTTCCTCCGTCTTTCCTCATAAGTCATGTGCCCCAGTCCCTGAACCATTTTTGTTGCCCTCCACTGGACTCTCTCTGAACACACTACTCCAGATATGGCCTGGCCAGTGCTGAATAGAGGGGAATAATCACTTCCCTTGACCTACTGGCAAAACTCCTACAAATGCAGGCCAGTATGCTGTTAGCCTTCTTGGCAACAAGGGCACACTGATGGCTCATATTCATTTTGTCTACTGTAACCCCCAGGTACTTTTTTGCAGTGCTGCTGCCCAGACAGTCAGTCCCCAGCCTGTATGGGTGCATGGGATTGTTCCGCCCTAAGTGAAGGACTTTGCAGTTGTGCTTGTTGAATCTCATGGATTCATAGATGCTAGGGTCAGAAGGGACCTCAACAGATCATCGAGTCCGACCCCCTACCTGGGCAGGAAAGAATGCTGGGGTAGGTGACCCCAGCCAGATGCCTATCCAGCCATTTCCTAAAGAACCCCAAGTAGGAGAGAGCACCACCTCCCTTGGAAGCCCATTCCAAGTTTTGGCCACCCTCACCGTGAAGAAGTTTTTCCTGATGTCTAGCTTAAAGCTGCTTTGTCAGTTTGTGACCATTTTTCCTTGTTAACCCAAGAGGCGCCCTGGTGAACCGAGTATCTTTGGTTCCTTGTTGCGCGCACCTAATGCATTTGTAAGTAGCCACAAGATCACCTCTCAGCCTTCTTTTGCGGAGGCTGAAGAGGTCCAGGTCCCTTAGTCTCTCCTCATAGGACTTGGTCTGCAAACCCTTAACCATATGAGTGGCCCTCCTCTGGACCCTCTCGAGATTATCCACATCCTTCTTGAAGTGCGGTGTCCAAAACTGGACACAGTACTCCAACTGTGATCTGACTGATGCTGCATAGAGGGGAGGTATCACCTCCTTGGTTCTATTTGTCATGCATCGGCTGATACATGATCAAGTATGATTAACTTTGTTGATGATTTTGTCACGCTGATGACTCATGTTCATCTTGGAGTCCACTATGATTCCGAGATCCCTTTCCGCCTCTGTGCTGCTGAGAGGGTCATTCCCGAGGCAGTAGGTGTGCTAGATACTTTTATGCCCTAGGCGCAGCACTCTGCATTTGTCCTTCTGGTACTACATCCTATTGTGTTCTGCCCACTTTTCCAACCTGTGCAGGTCTGCCTGCAATCATTCACTACCCTCCGGAGTGTTCACTTCCCCCCACAATTTAGTATCATCCGCAAACTTGGACAGAGAACATTTCATGCCCATGAGATTCCTTTTGGCCCAAACCTCCAATTTGTCTAGGTTACTCTGGAAGTGGAAGCTGAAGGAGGAAGGGGGACCTCACAGTCCCCTTCTGCTCTGCAGCAGGAGCAATGGGGGAGATCAGTAGCTCTTGGGAGCCACTGGGTCTGCAAATGAATCCCTTGCAAGCTGCATGCAGCCTGTGGGCCACCAACTGGACAGCCGCTGATTTAAAGAATGGGTTTATTATTAATGACCTTCCAATATAAGAGTGAAAAAGTTGGGTAAGTGAAAATGTCTTTTCCCACCAACACTAAATAATTTAGAAATTTTCAAATCACACAATATTTTGTCAGTTATTTTCATGCCATTGTAAATGGATGTGGCCCTTGAGTCAAGTTCTGCAGACAAAACATAGCCTGAACCTCAGTGATCGAAAGTTTCTTGAATCAGGACAGCTTTAAATATGTTTTAGGTACTTCCATTTTTAAGTTTCATCAACTTAAATGGGACTTAAGCATGTGCGTGCTCTCTGTTGATAGAGGCTGTGCTCCACCAGATCCAGAGCGAAGGAAATGGGTAAGGGAATCTAATGTGGTTGACATCAGGAAGTGTTCTTTACCCTTCTTGCACACTGAGGCTTCAATCCCAGGTCAGACCCCAGCAAAATTAGAGCATCCTGACCATGTATCAACACAACACAATTCAGTGCTATATAAATCTCCAAGTTGGCCTCAAACAAACAGCTATGCTTTCCTTTGCTCTGTTCTAAGAATTGAAATTACTACTGAACATAATGGCTTCTCAAATGCCTGAGATGGTAGCAGATTGGTAGGGTTACTACACACTTCTCAGTACCCAAACACTTGTTACTATTTCAAGATTGCATTTAAATGGAGAGGGAGGGAACTCCAGATTTTATAATTGGAAAAGAGCTTCATTATTACAGGTTTATGTAAAAAATCTGTCTCGGAAACCCTTTCTTTTATGCCTAGTCCCCACTTACCTTCCCTTTACTTACCCTCTTTTCTCTAGCTTGACTTTCAGGGACTTGCCCTTTAAATTTGTCTGAGTCAATCAGGTCCAACCTTAAAGAAACCATTCTAGCCTAATTGCTACTTGCTGTGTCTCTTCTCTCCTTGCTGGTAAGAGCCTTTTTGAACTTTTGCTGTATGTTTCTTCTTTCATTTTTATGCTACAAACACAACTATTAAGTTGTTTTTAAATTTTTTGTTTTCCCGCCTATGTCTTAATATTGAAGAGATGCAAATGATGGCTGCACCCTTTTCATAAGGGTGGCTACAGGATGAAGTTGAATGCTTTTAAGATATATTACCACACAATTAGGTCTCGGTTAACCCTTTAGTAGGCCCTAGGCAAAAAAACTCATGGGCCCCTATTTAATATTGTATATTTACTTTTTTCACTCAATAATTATAATACATAAAATAAGCACAACTGGGCCCCTTCTTCACTTAGGGCCCTAGGCATGTGCCTAGTTTGCCTATGCATTAATCCAGCCCTGCACATACTGTTTCTTCAATCAACCATTACTTCTGTGAAAAAACAGCTTTTGGGGGGAGGTGGGGTAGAAGGGGCTAGGGGGGAGAAAGGGAGAGGAAGGAGAATATTTCTCAAAGTGGATTTTTCAGTAAAACAGAGAGAACAAAATCTTTTAGTTGCTTTACTACCTTTCCCCCTTTTTTAATTCAAAATGTCTGTAAAAGTTTAAATGGAAATTTGAGAGATCAAAAGTTCTAGGCTAGCTGTTTAGTTTTATCTGTTGCTATACCATAACATAGAATGAAGACTATAATTAGCATCTGAATGAGGAGCTCTTATTATGATAAATCTGCTATCACAAGCTATGTAGCACATTCTGTTTTGTTCTGGATGTGAAGCAATTTTATCTTTATTCAATCTACATTTCCTTTTCAAGAAGCTGTGCTTGACTTCCTTTCCCTTTCACTTATACTGGTGAAACTTCTATAGCTTCACTGCAGTTCCCTGCTATATCTCTTCCTAGGAGTGAAATAACTGATTTGGATTCCAGGGGATGTTAATGTTATCTAATCCACCTGGCACCTGAAAGAGGTCCAGACAAGTATTTTAAGTGCAATTTCACTCTGCAAAGAAATTGTGCAAACTGTATTAGGAACAAAGCTCTGGAAGTACCTCCTGGGACCTGGGTCACATCAGTCATCACGTTGTGGGGCTCTTTGTTCATGACTGGTTTTTCATATGAAAATTAGTTCAACCCACATTTTTTAAATGGACCTGTAGAGTCAAGCTGGATTCTTTCCCTCTCGCACAGCATCAAGTAATAAAGGTTCTGCAGGCCAAATGCTGCTTTCTGTTACCTCTCCATAGCCTCTTTGTTTTCAAATTAGGCTCTCAGTGCCAGCTGTGCAAACCTAGTGCTTATCTGGGGGTTTCCCAGGTGCAGCTGGTTAGAGCTTTGTAAACAGCCTGTCCACACCCTCAGGAAAAACTTCTGTTAAGTGAGAAGCTGCACTTTTTGCTATTAGCCATTTTTCAAAATAGAACTACAGGTTAAGTTAAATGAAGTAATTGTCCAAACAGTGTAGTCCCAAAGTATTTTCATTAGTATCCCTGGCATAATATCAAGGACTTTTAGGGAAAACAGAAAAAACAGACAGGAGGAGAATAGCAAGAGTTTCTGTGTTGGCTTCCCATCTACTTCAGGTGAAATAGTAGTTTCTTCTTGTCTTTTCACAGTACTTTGTGGACTTCAGTGGCAAATTATATTTCTTCTATAGGATGGTTCAAAAACATGATGAAAGGATATAATTATTAAGTTCCATAGATATCAGTCATACTGGCACAGAGCTCTGTCTCTAGCAACTTAGCAAACACAAAGACTTTCAAGAAGTAGTGCAGACTTACCCTCTTGGTCAAGCGTGTGTTTAACCTTGGACAAAAATTCTGGAAAGTTGCAACTTGTGTAAGGAAAATTGTTATTGCTGATAGTGTTGGAGCAGTAAGAATTTCTTGGTGTTTTAAAAGATTTTATAGGGACATTCTTTAAGCAGCCTGTGACAGAATAAACTGCATACTGTCCCCTCCTCCATTCATCTCCCCCTCCCAATCTTAGCTGTGTGCTTGCTTTCAGATAGTCCCTCTGTTTGGAATATTCCCTTGCATTTCCTCTCTCCTCTCTCTGTCCTGCTTCCAGGATCATCTTTCAGTACCCTTTTGTCCAAGAATTATTCTTCTGCTGTCTCTCCAATTATCTTCTCATATCCTGCCAGAGGTGTATGATGGTGCTAGGTTGGTCTGTCAACTCTTAGTTTCTATTCTGTGAAGGTCTCTATACAAATCAGTGTGCATTAGAGGGAAGCATAAAGTCTGACTGATAATATTTAAAATACGATATTATTTTGCCTTGTTCCTTGTGGTGCATAAGTCAGATCAATCATTTCTCTCTTGTCCATTGTCTATTTTTGTGCTTCTTGCCTTTTTAATTCTCAGCTCACTTATATCTTTGCCAATGGCTTCTCACTATGATATTCTTGGTCTTTCATAGCTTCCCTGCCTTCCCCTATCAGCTTCCAGTTTAATGCTTACTTCGGCATCCTGTATGCTTTGTTTATTTTTACGGAAAAGGTGGTTCAGGCTTGTAGTAACTTGCCCACTCTTTTTTCCTATTTTCTCATGTATTTCAAGCCTTGTGACCCTTTTTGTCCACCTAACTTGATGTTCTTCATAGACACTGTGCGAGTCCAAAGCAGCTAGTTTTGTTGCTGTACTTCTACTCCAGATCCCACTGTTGATATTATACTATTGGTGTTTTACTAAAACCGTATGAGATTTGTTTTTTACCCTTCTTCCTTCCTCCCTCCCAGTTTCCTTAGGACCATAATTTAGGGAACCCCCATGAGCTGTGTGCTGCAGATAATGGACAGCACATTACTGACTTGCAGATGTTTTGGCTTGCACTTTTGAGTGAGGCAGCCAACTACACTGGAGGAAAGCAGATACTTTGGAGAATGAGAGTGTAGGTAATACACCTTCTGTGAAGAAATATATTAATTTGCACTATTTATCTGGTCAGCTTCACTTTCTGAGGTGTGATATGAAAGGAAAGGGAAGAGGTACAGTTCAGGAAATTACCAGAGGCCTTAGCTAATCACTGCACTAAACCAAGTCTGTGTGTCTGTAGAAATAAAACCAGCACTACTGAACAAGTGTTCAAGTCCCATGGGGAATTCACTTGCAGATCTGGGTTTTCTACCACAAATAGCCGTGGCCATAACCCCAAATTCCCATTTTCTTATTTCAGATTTCTATTGATAGGTTCATAACTCCCCACCTAATTGCTTAGGTACTTAAGAGGGCAAGGCATCTACCCTATCCTGCCTAGTAAAAACTTACTTGGACACAATTCAACTACTACACATGGTCAGAACTGATAACCATCATGGCTGAATAAAAGGTTTAGGTGCTTGAGGCTGTTAGTGATTCATACCTCTGAAGAACCCCATTCTCCTACAGAAGCCTGTTCTGGTAGGTGTGCTCAGAGCATGTTTAGCACACATTGTACATTGAGTTTAGCATCCCTTTCATGCAAAGGGATACGATGCAAAAATATGGAAAGTGCCCATATTCGCACAAGAGCTGAGTGATCAGAGTAAAGGAAGTGGGAAATCTAGGCTCCTGGGCGTCCTTAGCCTAAGGATGCTCAAACCCACATCTTCCATGAGAGTGCCCTTGTCACCAGCCCATTAAAGGCTGGACTAAGGGCATGTTCCACCCTTTATGTTAGACCTTTGTGCAGACAGAAATGCAAGAATCATGGGGCTAGAAGGAGAGCAAGCAAGAGGCCCTGCTTCTGTAGCCCTGAAAGGAAAGTGCTATCCTCTGGGGTGGATATCCTGAGCTCTGATCCCTGCTTCCAGTGCAGCTAATTAAGTTTATCTAATGACTCCTCTAATGCAAAATGCCTAAGTAATCCCTGGATGGGGGACAGAAGTCTCATTTAACAAGACAGTGCCCTCCCCTGAGTACAAAGTCAGTCTTCCTCCTTCTTGCTTTCCTTTAGGCACCAGAATTCTTGAACTTCTTTCTCTATAGTAGCTATGTTTATTTCTAGATTATTGACTAGGGAACTGTCCTGGAAAGTGGGAACTGTGGGCACCTATACACATGTAGCAAGGCTGCTCCGACACACTGTAAGTGTGCTATAAGCATGTCAGAGCAGCCTCATTCCAGCTTTAGTTAAAGCACCCCCACCACCATTTTTCAACACAGGGATGCTGATACATGTGAGGTTCTAGGCACTTTAATTAGAACAGCTCTTGGAGCCGCTTTAATTAATGCGCCCCGACCCCACTCCCAGAGCACGTGTATAAACACCCTGTGTGTTTGCTTTCATGCTCCCTCCTCCTTCCCCCACACTTAAGCAGAAGAGCAATTGAAGCTAGGTCTCCCATTTTCTGGGTTATTGGCCTAATCATCAGTCTGTTACATGGATAGTGGGTGGTAGCACCACAAACTTAAGTGTAAGCTACTTGTTGAACACAAAGGAATTACTTGGGTCATGGATGTCACACTCACTCTGGGCCCTGGATTGATCCAGACTATTAGGGCTCCTGAGCCAGAAGCTACTGCTGTGCAGCTGCATTTGGAGCTGTGCAGATCTGGGGGCTATCACTGATGGCCATATCCATCAGGGTCCAGGGGCCTGAATTCTGTGACAGGTCACATCCTCCACAGCTTCCAGTAGATATTTGGAACTGAGTCCCCAGGCCTGACCAGGGAGACTGGGATGTTCACAGCTGTATATTGAACCAGGCTCTGAACTCAGTCACGTGAGGTAAGTTTGCAGTAAATTAATTAAAGTTACTCCCATTTCATACCAGAATCTAGCCCATAATGTGTTGTTTATATGCTAATCTATATCTCTTTTGTCCCATGAATATGAAAACCCATTGATTGCTTCTTTTGGCTATTGTTTGTACAAATGCCATCATATAGCAGTAAAAAAAAACTGCCTTTTTGAGTGTTGTCTTGTGGCAGCTTTCATCATACAGGAATTCAAACTCCTTTACAGACAAGGTACACTTCAGTTGCATCACATCCTGGCCCCCCAAAATGCAACTAGCTGTAATACTCAATAGGAATAAAATAATATACAGTTGTTTGTGTAGGAAGTGAAGATACTATTTCCCAGTTAAAGCTACACAGATAATTTAGCTAGGCAGAATATAATTATCTTTGTTGGAATTTGTCTGGTTCATCAGTCATAATGTATTTGATCGCCTGGCTTGGATTTAAAAAAGAAAGAAGAATTAGTATTGACTTTGGAAAAATTAGAATAAAGTTGTAAATGCTCTTTTGAAAGATGAAGGGGAGCATTTAGGGTAAAATGGTGTGAAATGAAGTGCAATGAGGAAACCTAGCTGAGTGCTAAGCAGTTTACAAGGGAATCTGATTATCCAAAATAAATGTGCTGATTCAGGAGCACATTTGAAATGAAATTAGGAAGGCTAGAATATAGATGAGAGAAAGTGGTAGTGTTGATGTCAGTATGGCCAGTGTAGTGGGTGTGGCTGAGATCACAGTATCAAGGGCTAGGTTCAGACCTTACACAAACCAATTTAATTGATCAGAAACCGGTTTAAACCTGTAATAGAACATAAGTTCAGTGCACATAAACCAGTTTCAAAATGGCTGAAACTGGTTTAAGATAAACCTGGTTGAATGTAGTATGAGACTTAACTGATTTGGGTCAAATAAGTTTATGCAATGTCTGTCCCAGACCCTATCCTGGTTTAAGTTAAACCCGAGTCCCCCAGCATCCCAGATGCTTTGCAGCTCTGGGCTTTGCTGTCTATTCCAGAAAACAGGGCTGGCTCCTCCCCTCTGCTCCCTAACCAGAGCTCCAGTGGAAACTGTAGGCACAGCAGGGTCTGCCTTGCTTCCCCCTGCCTTACCCCCCGTCCCCCGCTGCTGACTGCTCAAGCAGGGATTTCCCCTTCCCTCCCTTCTCCCACAGCATGGACCCCAGCCCCATGGACTCTAGGCATGTGGTATGCTAGCTAATGCTGAGAGGTGTCTGTATCTCCAGTTTCACTGGGACAGGCCAAAAGAACAGTGTCCCATTACTGCTTTTTGGAGCTAATCAAGAGGTCAGCTGGTAATGTCCCTCCATTCCTTCCTGGGAAAAAAGCTGTTTCCAAAGAACTTGAATTAATGAGGGAGGCTTTTGTTTTTTTGATGGTTTGATAAATGCTGTGTTATCAGCATCCTGCTGGGTTCCTCATCTGTCAGGTTTGCAGACCATATAAAGAAGCAGGAAGAGGGAGATTGAAAAGCTCTGTATCATGAGCAGATGCATGCACTGCACATACCC